TAAACGTTAAGTAAAAAATAAATGTCTCATGTTTTATGTATAAACGTAATCGACAGTTATTGTATAATATTATAACGATGCTAATGCAATAAACTTCACTCGATCTAGCTAAAATGGTATAGCGAATAGTCATGGTTCAATACCGCTGGTAAGTCATTGACTATACAACTGATTTATTTACATGTAAAATATGTACCGTAATAGAATACTTGTTTTTCTTTTCTTTTTAAACTACGACCCCTGTATATGAATGAGGAAGTAATATAGATTGTATAACTTATATCAAATATATTATAATCTTAAACTAAAATGGCGATAGTTGTGTTACTGATAGGAATATTAACTCAAACAATATTAGGTATGTTTTTATGTCTTATTATATTCATATATAATCATATAGTACATATAATAATATGTTGTATAATTTATTCATTATAGCTTCATTTATTCATTGTGTAAATGTATAAATACTAATAAATTGAATCTTACAGGTTCAATGTTGAAATGACTTATCTGTTATTGTAATCATGTATGTTCTTTCCCCTTTATTATTGATATAATCATTGGATATGAATTGTATATAGGTTGATTTACCTATTACTCTGTTTTTTTTGTATGATAAGTATTGGGCAAAAGCAAGTGTATATGGTGCTTAATTAAACAATACAATACATCAATACTTGTATTTCTTATATAAATATATATTAAACATTTAATAGGAATGTAAAATAAATACTGAACCTAATGAACTAGTTGATGGAGAATCTGATAGTGTTACCTGTTATTATAACAATGTAATATACAGTAACTGTATAATATTCTCTTTATATTTTAGGTCAAGTTATAATAAATACTGAACCTAATGAACTAGTTGATGGAGAATCTGATAGTGTTACCTGTTATTATAACAATGTAATATACAGTAACTGTATAATATTCTCTTTATATTTTAGGTCAAGTTATAATAAATACTGAACCTAATGAACTAGTTGATGGAGAATCTGATAGTGTTACCTGTTATTATAACAATGTAATATACAGTAACTGTATAATATTCTCTTTCTATTCTAAGTCAAGTTATAATAAATACTGAACCTAATAAACTAGTTGATGGAGAATCTGGTAGCGTTACGTGTTATTATAACAATGTAATAGACAGTAACTGTATAATATTCTCTTTCTATTCTAGGTCAAGTTATAATAAATACTGAACCTAATGAACTAGTTGATGGAGAATCTGGTAGCGTTACGTGTTATTATAACAATGTAATAGACAGTAACTGTGTAATATTCTCTTTCTATTCTAGGTCAAGTTATAATAAATACTTAACCCAATGAACTAGTTGATGGAGAATCTGGTAGCGTTACGTGTTATTATAACAATGTAATAGACAGTAACTGTATAATATTCTCTTTCTATTCTAGGTCAAGTTATAATAAATACTGAACCTAATGAACTAGTTGATGGAGAATCTGGTAGCGTTACGTGTTATTATAACAATGTAATAGACAGTAACTGTGTAATATTCTCTTTCTATTCTAGGTCAAGTTATAATAAATACTTAACCCAATGAACTAGTTGATGGAGAATCTGGTAGTGTTACGTGTTATTATAACAATGTAATAGACAGTAACTGTATAATATTCTCTTTTCTATTCTAGGTCAAGTTATAATAAATACTGAGCCTAATGAACTAGTTGATGGAGAATCTGGTAGCGTTACGTGTTATTATAACAATGTAATAGACAGTAACTGTATAATATTCTCTTTCTATTCTAGGTTAAGTTATAATAAATACTGAACCTAATGAACTAGTTGATGGGGAATCTGGTAGTGTTACCTGTTATTATAACAATGCTTATACAATAACTTTTTCTCGATCTGGTGAGAGTAATATAGCTAACTGTTTTGTTACTATACAAGAACAAGACTGTAATATCCTACCTCCTGGACCATCAAACAACTATACCGATTATAGAGGATTCTATACAGCATCTAAAACAACTACTAGTTTAACTATGCATATTGATACAGTATCTAAACAAAGAGATGATGGTATCTGGAGATGTAGAGTGGATGAACTTCCATCTGAATCATTTCAAATCAATAAAACTATTAATGTTAAAGGTAATTCTATGTTACTAGAGCTTCATTATTTCATCTAGTTTTAATTAAATAGACTCTTCATAAATAATTATTTATAACTAAAACAAA